GGGGGCTGCCCGGTCCCCGGGTGCCGCTCGGGGGTGCGGGGGGTCCCGGCTTCGGGGGACAGCTGCTGCTGTCCCAGCCCAGGGTCACCTTGCCGGAGGTCTCCTGCCGGGTTTCCCCCCCCCAGCAGTGGGGCTGCACCTTCCTCGCTGCCTCCTCTTCCCCGTGCCTACTCCGCACTCCCTGGGGCCACAGGAGGGGGGACAGGGACCCCCGTGCTGTGCCATGTTCATGCTGTGCCGTGCCGTGCCAGGCTGCAGCCGCCTGCGTGCCAGCGGCCGGCAGCGCCAGACACGGGACCTGCACTGGGTCGGTGCCCGGAACCAGAGAAGGGAAGTGGGACAGAAGTGGAAAGGGGAATGCGCTGGCACATGGGGACGAGCCAAGGGGACAGCCCCATCCCCGGGCGTTACCTCTGCCGTCCGGCCCAGGCCCACGTTCGGTGTTCCCGGGGAGCCAGCGGGTACGGTGCTACCTGCTCCAGGCACCAGGGGAAGGGATCGGCACAGCCCCAGAGCCGGCCACGCTCAGAGAAATCCAATGTCAGGAGGGAGCATGTGGGGTGCAGAGGGGGCTGAGCCCCCCCCCCAGCTGCCTCTGGCCTCCAGGCAAGGAGCCGACAGGGGATGCGTGTCTGCCCGGTCCCGTCTGGGGCTGCTTTGGGCCGTGCTGGGGTGGGCTCGGCTGTGCTGGCACAGACAGGGCTTCCCAGGACCCGATTGCTCGCTGTGGCCCAGCGGGAGGGATGCCCAGCCGGGAACTGCGGGTAGGGATGCTCTGAGAGACGGCACAGGCAGCGCCAGGAGCTGAGCCGCGGCCCTGGTCCCCACTTTCTAATGCCCCCTCTGTCCCACAGGGTCCCTGGACACCCCGCTCGGCACCCACACCACAGTGCAGGATGGGTGCTGCGGCTGTGCCGCCGGCAGCCACCTGCATGCTGCTGGTCCTGCTCCCTGCGGCCAGCGGACAGACCACCCCTCCCTCAGGCTGCGGCAAGGACCTCTCCTCCCTCTACTACAACCTCTGCGACCTCTCCGCGGCCTGGGGCATTGTGCTGGAGGCCGTGGCCAGCCTCGGCGGGGTGACCAGCTTCGGGCTTCCTGGTGGCCAGCCTGCCCTCTTCGTGCAACCCCCAGAAGAAGAGCCTGGTGGCCACGCAGGTCGTCTTCCTTCTGGGCACCTTTGGGCTCTTCTGCCTAACGTTCGACTTCATCGTGGGGCCGGATTTCTCCACCTGCGCCTCCCGCCGCTTCCTCTTTGGCGTTCTCTTCGGCATCTGCTTCGCCTGTCTGCTGGCACACGCCGTGGCCCTCAACTTCTTGGCGCGGAGGAACCGGGGCCCGCGGGGCTGGGTGACGCTGGCGGTGGCCCTGCTCCTCGCTTTGGTGGAGGTCATCATCAACGCCGAGTGGCTCATCATCACAGTGGCACGGCGGGAGGGTGGCTCCCCGGACCCTTGCCAGCTGGCGGACGCTGACTTTGTCATGGCGCTCATCTACGTCATGTTCCTGCTGGTGGCCGCCTTTGGCACCGCCTGGCCGGCCCTCTGCGGCCGCTACGGCCGCTGGCGCAAGCACAGCATCTTCATCCTGGCCACCACTGGCCTCTCCATGGCCATCTGGGTGGCGTGGACGTCCATGTACCTCTACGGGAACCAGCACGCGGGCGAGAAGCCTGGCTGGGACGACCCCACGCTGGCCATCGCGCTGGTCTCCAACGCCTGCGCCTTCCTCCTCCTCTACGTCATCCCCGAGGTGACGCACGTGACGCGGCGGGGCCCCGAGCAGGCCTTCGAGGACAACGTCTACCCCACGCGCGGGGTGGGCTACGAGACCATCCTCAAGGAGCAGAAGTCGCAGAGCATGTTTGTGGAGAACAAAGCCTTCTCCATGGACGAGCCCTCCTTCGGTAGGTGCCGGGGCTCACTAGGGACCCTCTTGCCCCATGGCGGGGCTGGCGGCGGGCACCAGCACCGGGGCTGGCAGCGGTGGGCAGGCGGCGAGACGTCTGGCCGCAACCCACCCGGGATTGATGCCTGCCATTGGTGTGGCTCCCGAAAACTCGCTGGGCTGGGTCTACCAGTTTGGGCTGAGCTCAGCGGCTGCAGGGGTGCTCCCTCCCCGGCACGGGGTGCTTGTGGCTCCCAGCCCTCCGCCCCAGGCAGCCGCTCTGCTTGCGAGACCCTACAATAACACGGGGTGGTGTCAGCTGCCCCAACGGGGACCGGCAGGTGAGCGCCAGCCCTGCCCCAGCAAAGGTGTCTGCAGCCCACGGGGCAGGGTGGGTGCTTCCGAACAGCACCCACGCCACCCTGCCTCCCGAGAGACCCTACAATAACAAACCCCGGCAGGGCAGGGGCTGTGCTGGGAACGTGGTGATGCAAACCCGTGGGACATCCCTCCTGTCCCCTGGGAAAGGCACAGAGCAGCCAGTTGCTGAGTCAGCTCATTAAACCTGCTAATGAGGAGCGGCTCCCCAGTGGGGTGGGGGTGGCTGTGTGAGGTCCCCCCCTTCACTGTCCCCATCTCTTTGCAGCCAAGAAGCCGGTGTCCCCGTACAGCGGCTACAATGGGCAGCTGCTGACCAGCGTCTACCAGCCCACCGAGATGGCTCTGATGCACAAGGGGCCGGTAAGTGTGAGGCTGCGGGGCACCGCCGGCCAGCCGGGCTCTCTGGGGGCGGCCGTATCCTGCCTGATGGATGGGCTTTCAACCAGAGCGGCCGGGATGGGGGCCAGGGTGTGGGGGGGGCTCTGTGGGGAGGTTCCCGTGGCTCCCACGTCCCAAGAACTGCTGTAACAGGGTGCTGGGGGGGGAGTCACCCCTCGCCTTCCTCCCCCGGGACCCCGTGGGGCTGGGCGTGCTCCTGGTGCCTCTGCAGCACCCGCTCCTCTGCCCTGCAGACCGAAGGTCCCTATGATGTGATCCTGCCCCGCGCCTCCACCACCAGCCCGGCGGCTGGCAGTGCCAGCTCCACGCTGCGAGCCGAGGACGCCTTTGCGGCACAGGCCCGGCACGCCGGCGCCCAGCGGGACAGCAGGAGCTGCCAGGTGGGTTAATGTGCAATGCAGTGGGCAGGGGAGCAGGCACCAAGGTCCAGCCTGCGGCTGGGGGCAAAGTCTGTCCCCGCCACAGCGTGTCCTGTGGAAGGGCAGGGACAGGGATGTCTCTGCCTGGCACCCCGGTGCCCTGGGGCAAGCCAGCGCGAGGGTGAACATGGCTGCACCTCCCTGCCGGTGCCAGAGCCAAGTCTGCCGGCCTGTGCCACAGCCCTGTCGCCGCCACGCCACCCCAGCGCCGTCCCGCTCTGCCCACAGGTGCAGTCCCCATATGGCAGGAACCGGTGGTGAAGCCTCCGCAGCATGGGTCCCACAGCACTGGCACAGCCGTGGCCCCGTCGTCCCGCTCCTGAGGTCTCGCCAAGCCTCATCCCGCCCTGCCGCCTATATCCCACCCCGTCCGGCGGCCGGAGCTGGTTTCTGCGCAGGGGACACCCGGACACGGTCCCGGAGCCAGCGCTCCTGCCTGCCCGTCCCGCCTGGCCACGGCACCCGCAAGCTGCCAGCTCTGCCCAAACCCTCGCGTCCCTGCTGCCGTCCCTGCCGCAAGGACCAGCTCCCGCGGGGCCACCCTGAGTCACCCCCTCGCTGCCATCGTGACACACGGACACCCCGTCCCCTCTGGGCCAGGGACCATCCGCCTCCGAGAAGCTGGGGAGCCGGTGGGACTCCTGCCCAGGCTCCCCCTGACGCTGAGCCCCCAGTTCCACGCTGACCCTCGCCAGCCCCAGGGACATCATGGGCCCTGAGCCGAGCCAGCACCATCCCACCGCAGGGCTCAAGGTGACACAAAGCTCTCCCCAGCCCTGGCTCCCACTGTGCCTCAGCGTCCCCTTTGCCAGGGAAGGGGGTGCTGCTTGGGGTCGTGGGGACCAGTGCCTTGCTGGGGCTGGGGACCTGGCCCCGCCACGGCTCCGGCTGCCTTCTCGGTGCCTTCCCCCCTCGGGGCTCAGGGATCCCTCCCGGGGAGCAGGGAGGGAGCTGGGCCCTTCACCCTCCCTGTGGCTTTTTCTGTCCTTCTTCCTCTTCCCCCTTTTTTTCAGGTCAGACCCAATAAAGGTGGTTTTTTCCTACGCGGTGCTGTAGTAGGCGGCCCGTGATGGGGAGGGCGTACCCAGCCGTGCCACCCGCTGCTCCCCCATCCCTGGCCCCACCACGACCAAAGGCTTCCGCCACAGTGCCAGCAGGCTCAGCCCCACGTCCCCCTCCTGGGGGGCAGCAGGGAGCAAGGGGGGGCTCGGGGCAGGGCCCTCGGCATCCCCCAGCCCCAGTCCCGGCTCCCCGTCCCCCACCGTGGCAGTGTGCACCGGGGCCAGGCACACAGATGGGGCCGCTGGGACGGGAGCCGGCGGACTCGGCGGGGCAAGCAACGCGGGACCGGCAGCCTGCGGGCAGATGGGCTGCCTGGCGGGAAGTGGCACGGTGTGGAGGACGTGCCAAGGTCGGGAGCGGTTTCTCCTGCTCAGATTGCCTTTCCTCTCCGCAGCGATTTCTCCTGCCGGGCAGGAAGCCTGCGGCCACGGCCGGCAGTGCCATGAATTATTCAGGGGCTGAAATGGCTCCGTGAGGGCAGGCGGGTGACCTGGTCTCCTTGAGCTGGAGCCGGGACGGCGGCGGTGGGGCTGCCCACGGCTGCAGGCACAAGCGCCATGCATGGCCGTGGTGCCCACACGAGGGGTGCACGAGCAGAAGTTTGGCAGGCGCGGTGTTCCAGCCGTGCCCTTGCCAGCCAGCACGTGCCCACGCTCCCGGCTGCGGGGACATGGCAGGGCAGGCGCAGCCCTGAAGGCCGGGGACGGCCGCGGGAGCCGGCTGTTTGCAGCAGGATCCGGCCGTGCCCCCCGGGGCTGCACTGCGTCACCCGTGTTTACCTGGTGCCAGCCGGCAGCGAGCACGTCTCCAGGCAGCACCAGGCACTTGAGGTCCCCGGGGCTGCCGCCACCACAGCGCACCCTCCTCCCGGCCGCTGGCACCACACGGCACGGCACAGCATGGCCGGGCCCCAGCACGTGCCCCACACCAGGCACGTCCACCTGCAAGCCCGGCCCTGAACCAGGCTGAGTTGGGCTGGTGCAGGGGCTGCCCCCAGCCCACGCGTGGGACACCGCCGTCCCCAGCTGCAGTACGGCAGAGCCCTGCCTTCCCGGGGTGCAAGGAAGGAGGTGACAGCCCTGGGGACAGCAGAGTCACTTGAAAAATGAGGAGCAAAGACTCTGTCCCCGTTTAGCGCTGGCAGGGGACACCAGAGCTGCCGGTGGCTCCGCTCCCCGTGTCCGGCCTCAGCCCCTCCGGAAGCCTGGGATCCCACCGGCTGCCGTCAGCACCGGCCGCAGAGCCGGGGCCGGCCCCGCTCCAACAGGCAACACTTTGTGCAGGCGCCGCGGCACGGGGCTGCCAAACAGGGCTGCCTTTGTCCTGCGCAGGTGAAGCTGCCGCACCGGCCCCGCAGGCAGACACGGGCTGTGCTGTGCCGGGAGCAGCCCCCCGGACACCCCCCATGAGGGCCGGGAACTGGGGGGGGGGGCTGTCAGCCCTGATGGGGTGTGTGCCAGCTCTGGATTGCATGGGGCCTTGCGGCTGCGCCAGACGGCACAGGATTGGTGTGGGTGCAGCGATGGGGCCGTGGCAACATCCCTGGCAGCAGGGAGGGCACCGCGGTCACCGTGACCCAGGGTGTCTGCCGGGGACAGGCAGGGACGTGAGCAGTGCCAGGCTGGGTGGTGATGCTGAGGGCCAGGGGTGAGCATGGCTGCAGACTAAGGGCTCATGCAGCATCCCCAAGCAGCGACGATGGAAGAAAGTGACACCGTGCAGGTGAGTCCAGCGGGACTGTGGGATGCTACACATCCCCGGGGCTCGGCTCGCTCTCTTCCAACCGGGAGCCAGGGTGGGAGCCGGGGTGGGTCATGGCCAGGCACTGGGGTCTCCCCCGAGGCTGAGCAACGAGGGTCCTGCCCCCAACCAGAGGCCTGCCAGGGCCAGCTCGCAGAGAGTGACAGTGACGACATGCCCGCTGCGGGCCGGGACTGCCATCTGCCGGCACGCCTGCCGGCACACCACCCAGCACAGCCGCGCACACATCAGCACAGCGACGTCCCTTCTTAGCCGCCGCACAGGAAGGAAGCCAGGCAGGTCGGGGAGGCACAGACACGCTCACGCCACCAGCACTCAACGGCACTTTTACTACAAGCAGGTCCGTGGCACCGCAGGGGCCCCAGCTCCGGCGCGGAGCCCACGGGGTGCCCCGAGCCGAGGTGCGGGGCTGTGGGGAGCCCCAGGGCTCGGCAACGGCAACAGAAGAGCAGGGTCAGGACAACCATCCCCCTCGAGTCCTGGGGTCCCGTGCTGCCTGCACACTGCCTGCACACCCTCGTTGGGACCAGGGAGGCCCAGCTCCTCCGGGCTGGGCTCAGCGGGGGACCCTGCGTCCGGCCTGGGCACTGCCCCGTGCCGCCTCCCGCTGCTGCTGTTTGCGCCTCTGGATGTCCCTGTAGGCCTGGATGACACGCGCTCTCTCCTCCTCCACGATGCGCCGGCGAGCCATCGACACCGGCGCTGCCGGGGACACCGGGGACGCCTGGCTCTGGCCCAGGCGAGACGTCAGGAGGAGCCGCTTCCGTCCGGCCTGCAGGCAGAGACGGGACAGGTGAGGGAGATGAAGGATGAAAAAGCCAGGACCAGGCTCTGAGGAACTGTCACCAGGAGGCTGAGGCCACCGCTGCCCTTCCAGACCCGATTTCCAGCCCAAGGGAGGTGAGACGACCCGGGTCCAGCCCAGACCTGCGGGTACCCGAGGGCACGGCCGAGGGGCGGGAGGCATCGCCCACCGGCAGCTCACCTGCTCCGCCGGGCCCCGGCCCCTGGGCCGCGAGGTGATGGTGGGCGGCTGCGTAACCACTTCACCGAACGCCACCGTGTCTAAGAGAGAGAAGCAGGTGCCGGTGTCAGGCAGGAGCTCCCCAGGACACACCACTCCAGCTCGGCCCCACCTCTCCAACATGCTGCCGGGGCAGGGGGTCACTCCAGCCACCCCGCTGTGCCAGACCCACCTTGGAACAGGCTCTTCTCCAGCATGGCCTCTTTCTTCTCCTCCTTCTTCTTCCGCGCTTTTTCCAGCTTCTTATTCTGAAACCTGAAGAGCTGCGTTATGGCCAGGGCTCGTGACCAGACAGGGAGCAAGTGAGTTCCTATCCCATGGGATCCCCCCAAAACCTGGGGCCCCACAGCTCTCCCCCCAGCTCCAGCCCAGTAGCAGGAGGGTGAAGTAGGTCTGTGGCTTCGGTCCCAGAGATTCAGCCCCGTGGAGATGAGGCCCGCAGCCCTCCACCCACACCCTAAGTCACTGCCAGATGCCAGACCTGCGCTGTGGCACCGGTGCAGCACCCACCACGCACCCAGAACCGGTCTGGGGCACAGGCCTGGGCTGACCCAGTCCAGCCCCGGCAGTCACAGTGGCCTTGCGCTCACTCTTTCTTTCTCTTGGACTTCTCTGGTGCCATCGCCTCCTTCTCAGGCTCCCGCTGCAGCTGGTTCTTGGTGAGGAACAGGACGCGCTGCACCTCCTGCTCCATGCGGCAGACGTAGGAGCGCTCCGACTCCCCCTTCCCCCTCCTGAACTTGGGCACGGGGATGTCTCCATGGGCCTCGGGGCCCTTTGACTTGGGCTGCTGCTTCTTCTCTAGGAGAGACGGGTGACATTACTGCAGCAGTGACAACCTGGGGGTTCCCTCCCCCTGGCAGGGCAGGGATGGGACATCGCCGGGGGGAGCAGGATGCCCCACTGCTGGATCAGGCTGCCTCCAGCTGCACCGCAGCGCCGCGGGGCTGGCGCGGGCTCTTCGGCCAGGCCCTGGGCACCCCTGCTCGGGCCAGCTCCGCGCCCCACCTGCCGCCCGCCTCTTCCCGAGGTCGGGGCACTTCATGGCCTCGCGGCTCCTGATGAGCTCCTGCAGGCGGAAGGGGATCTCCTGCTCGTCGGGATGCTTGGGCTTCATGTTGTCCACCTTCTTCTCCTTCCTGGGAGAGAACGAACGCGGTGTGAAGCCTGCCCTGAAGCACCAAGACCCGGGCACAGCGGGACACGGGGACTCGGGCATGGCAGGACACGGGAGCAGTGGGACACAGCGACCCGGGCACCGAGATCCGGGCATGAAGGGACATGGGGACCCGGGCATGGCAGGATACCGGAGCACCCGGACGTGGTGAGGCACCAGCGGACCCGGGCATGGTGGGACACCGGGATCTGCGCACAGGGGGACATCGGGACCCAGTCCCCGGCAACGGGGGCCCCCGCCAGGGCCCAGCCGGCCCTGGGGACCCCTTGATCCCGCGTGGGGATCCAGGCCCCAAACCGGGAGCCAGCCAGGCCCGATCCCGACCGGATTCCCCGGGCACTGACCTGCCGCCGCGCGGGGCGACCGGGCCCCGCCCTGGTGCCGGTCCCGGTCCCTGTCTCTGGCCCTGGCCCTTTCTCTGTCTCTGTCCCTGTCCCTGTCCCTGTCCC